CAGTCTCTCGTCTCCCCTCTCCCCAGAATGTGCTCCCTCCTCCCTGGTTGCATTCCATCACACCGCCTTACTCAATTCAACGCTTCACACAGCTGGTCGTGTGTCTAGGCTCCACTGAGCCTTTTACTGTAATTTAATTTCCCTTTTGGATGCCTTGAACTCTGCTTTTCTTGTGACCTTTGAATCAGGAATGGGGTTGGAGGACAAGCTCCTTGGTGGCATGGTGCTCCACTTCTCCCAGCAACCCCTGTACTTGAGCTTCCGAGAAATTGCTGGCCCGTCTTTCTTGTGGTGCCTAATTTCAGAGTGCAGAGAAAGGTTGATTGGCTGGGGAGGTCTATGGGAGCCTCTTGTTCCAGCTTTTCAGAAAGGAGGGGAGTCATCAATGGAATATCTCATGCTAAACTGGATTTATTTGGAGTGGCTTTTAGATTATGTCTTCTCTGTAAGAGGGCCCTGGGGATGGTAACGGTGGGGGCATGCCCCATTCCTGCAAAATACTTCTTCTCTCTCTGATAGCTTTCACCAGAGGTGCCCTAAATGGGATATATTTATTTGCTGTAAGTCTTTGACGTCTTGAGTTGTAAATGAATTCATACACTTTATTCAGAGGAATCAAACAAAATATTTCTGCTGCAGCTGCCCTTAGCTTGGGCCTCTCCAGATGTACAGGTGGTCTTGCTTATATAATAAGTTAAGCAGTCAAGTTATATAAGTTCAAACTTATGACAGTGCTGAATGAGTGGTACTTACGACTGGTCCTCGTACTTACGATGGGCATAATGTCCCCGCTCATGTGATCACGATCCGGGTGCTCGGCACCCGGCTCGCAATTACGATGGTCACAGCATCCTATGGTCGTGTGATTGCCATTTGTGACCTTCCCTGCCGGCTTCCCACAAGCAAAGTCAATGGAGAAGCTGGCAGGGAAGGTCACAAATGGCAGCCACGTGATGTTGTGCTTAATAACCAGGAGTGCTGTCACTAAGTGGTGTGGTCCCCTGACGTCATGCTTTATGACCGCATCACTTAGCAATGGAAATTCTGGTCCTAATTACTGTTGTCCCAAATATTGACTATCTGTATTGGGGTGACCGTCTTGGACAATGTTTCTCAACCTTGGCAGCTTTCAGATGTGTGGAGTTCAACTCCCAGAATTCAGAGGCTGAGAAACCCTGGTCTTGGAGGAAGGCTGCTTTATCTGCTCTGGCATCTGCTTGGACTGTGTTCTGGCTCTGCAGCAATTACAGGAATAAACACGTTGGTGGGCCAAGTGTGTGGCATCAGTCTGAAGGGCAGGCGTGTGGTGGTTCTGCTTAGCAAAGATTTGCCTGGGTAATTTAGATGTTTAATCTTCAGAAAGCTCCTCAAACAAAATACAAGCTGGATCAGTTGCGTGCCTTTCTTCCTAATCCCACTTTTCCTGTTGGATTGCTTTAATTAGAGCAGAAATCCTCACTTGTTATGGAAGCGAGTGTTTTACACGCCATCCGCCTTGCTTAAGAAAGTCCATTCAGAAAGTTCTAACATA